TTGAAGGGCGCCGGAATCTCCCTCAAGCTCAAGAAGTGTAGCCTCTTCCAACCGAAGGTGCACTACCTGGGGGACGTCATTTCCCCCGGTAAGTTGAGCGTCGCCGAAGCGGCAGCGGACGCTTTCAAAACGTTCACGTTCCCGAGGACCCTGACGCAGGTGCGGTCGTTCCTCGGGGCGTGGGGGGGGGGGGGGGGGAGCGCGAGGCCAAAGTTGGTCGGTGTGATCCGTCGATGGGAGTTGAGGGAGTGTGTTTACGGTTGTCCCTATTTTTTTAAGTGTTTTTTGAGCGTGATTGGAGGTGCTTTAAAAAATTGGAATGGAATGTGGTTGGCCAATGGAGCGATGGATGGAATACGATGGTGATCAGCGAGACAGGGAGGATCTAACGTTACCTGCGATTGCGACACGTCCTACACGTCATCCGGAGACCCGCCTTTCGAGTACACGTCGGCACGCCGGCCAGCGCCTCTTTTTTAGCCTGATTGTTACTGTAACCCCCCGTTTCCTTCCTCCTTCCTTGGCAGGAAGGACTGTAGTTCCTGTGTCATGGTTGGACAACGATGACATACAGGAACTACAGTGTCCAAGTGACACTCCCGCACACGTGTCCCTCGCGTGCACGTGTACAGGCATCGTTGACTCCGCCGCAACACCCCCCCACCCGCCTCAAATCCAATTCCCGTCAACGATTTCTTCTTCACTCGCTTCGCCGACCACCAAATTCCTTCCAAGCGACCTCATCTTCCAAGCGACCTCATCTTCCAAGCGACCTCATCTTCCTGCTCTTTAACATGGTGCGCACACCCTCCTCTGAGGGCCCCTTCAATGCACAATTCAAAGTCTTCGCTGACGAACTAGACACGGCCAACGACAAGCGCGAGCGCCTCGTCAAGGCGAGTCGCGACGTCACAAGGGACAGCAAGAAGGCCATCTTCTCCCTCCATCGGTATGTCCCACACTCCCAAAGCCCCTCACTCGCCTCCACCCTACATACCCACCATCTAACACCCTCTCCGACCATCCGCGCAGCGCAAATCCCTCCAACAAACCCGCCATCCTCTCTTCGGCCGCTGCCTCGCTCGCCGCCCTCCGCAAAGTCATTGCCTCACGCATAGTCTCCGAGCTGGACTGCGACTCCGCTGCCCGCTTCCACCGTGCCTACTCCCCCGGCCTGCAGGAGTACATCGAGGCCCGCACCTTCCACGCCTTTCTCTCCGACGGCACCCTCCTCGCCGCCGACCACATTCAGAGCGAGATTCGAGCCGCCTACACCGAACATCGAACCAACATGAGTGACGTCGCCGAAAACGTCTTCGTCCTCGACAATGCAGACTACGTCCTCGGCGTCGCAGATCTCACGGGCGAGCTCATGCGCGTCGCCATCGCCGCCGCCGCGAGGGCTGATCGTAACGCCGTGCGCGACGTCTGGGTACTCATGAATCATATCGATCTTGCGTTCAAGGGCTTGCACAAGTATGCCCGGGGTCTCGGAAGGGACTACCCCTCTAAACTCAAAACGCTTGCGAATAGCATCTCTAAGGTGGAACGCTCCGCTTGCGATCTCGCCGTTCGTGCCGCCGAGTTTGGGGATGACCTACAGAATACTCAACACGACGCCCCCCTCGAGCCTTCGAAGAAGCGAATCCGCGCCGAGCAATACTAGCCATTCCACCAGGCACGTGTCCCCGCCCTGTCCGGCAAAGCAGGACGATCACGATTCTTGTTGACACTTCTTTCGAGACCTTGTAGAAGATTTGACGCCCCTGAAAGCAATATGCCCGTGTAACTCTAGGCGCTGCCACAAGTAGCATTTTTGGACTTGCGACACGCTGGCTGTGGTTGCGCCGGTGTAGCACCATCGTCTGGTCACGACCAATCGCGATGGACACGGCGCCGGTCACTTACGTACACAAAAACTTGGCACTACACAGCCCCGGTATTCTATGCGCTTTGAGTTACCCGCTTTCATCATGCAGTGGGGCAACTGAACTGTCGCCCATCTTGTTGATGGGTTTTCATCAGTGATGAGGTTTCAACGGCTTGCAACCGTGTGGACACTCCTTTGAAACGGTCTTCCCGCGAAAACTCATTCTTCTCGCAAATATCGTTTTCATGGTCTAAAGCTTTGCATGTGGTCTCGTCGGTCTTGCCGTATACAATTATAGGATGGTCACAACGAGCTGAGACATGAATGCGGTACCAGCAATTGCGGGCCCCGGAAGCCGGTTTGCACAGCATGCGCGCCGGTGCTCACGACGTGCGAGGTGGCCGCCTTCAGACTAGCAGCATGTCGATACCTAAGCAAGGGTCAGTTTTCAATTTTCTATTTCGTGAGTGTCCTGACGGGACACGCACGAATGCGGTTTGCATTCCGGGAAGGGCCTTCGGCGCCTGATCAACCCCTCGGACGCTCGAGCTCCTGCTTGCTCCTCCGCACGAGTCGGTGATTGGTTTCGTGTCTGTTTCAAAGCCTCCATTTAAGAAGCTACTGCCGAATTTTCCGCGCGACCGTTGAGTGGTAACGTTCCTCATCAGTAGCAAGCGGTTTGTTTATGTCTTCCTTCGATTTGAAACATGTTGTATTCATGGAGATCGATCTGCTTTTCTTGATCTTGCAGCTACCTCCGCCGCCCTTACGTGTCTCGCTCAGGAAAGTGACACCCGCCGCCGACTTCTTTCACAGCTAATTGCGAATCCCATGGCTCTTCGAGCAATCGCTGAGGTCTACCCGGATGAAGAGGTTTTTCGAAAACGCAGGAGGTTACGCCAGCACCACGCACCGGAGACAACACCCAACTTTGTCCGGTGCTATCCGGCATTCTCGGAAACCCCAGATTTTCATGACGTCGAACTACTACCACCCTCTGGCCCTCTCTCGTCGCTGGAGAGAGTTTGCTACCTTTTGATGGTCGTTTGCCACCACAATGATGAATTAGAAGAAGACAAAACCACGCTTGACAGAATGCAAGACGATGAGGACGAACTGGAGCAATGGTTAGCGACTGCTCTTAACGCACACTTTATATCGCCAGAAATTGTAGTTGTAGCTTTAGTGCTCTTGGATCGCGTTCAGAAGGCTGGTGCAGCCTTAACCACCGACTCCGTGAAGATGCTCCTTCCCACCTGTGTCATTCTGGCGTCAAAATTCTCTATGGATGAACGGATTTTCAATGCGGACTTTCTTTTCATGTTTGAAAATCTTTGTGTAGACTCTGTAGCCCAGCTTGAGAGTGAGGTTCTCACTTTGCTGAAGTGGAGAGTGTTCGTGTCAGGAGATGTATTCCGTGAGTATCATCGGGCTATTTTTGCACAATGACGGGTTTCAGTGTGGAACACTCTTGTGCCGACGCTGGAGACATGAATCGATGAATCGTATGCTTTGTGCAGAGTGAGCTTACTTAGAGGCTCATGCTTTCTTCTTCCGGTATATGTCGGTGTATATGAGTTGAAACGAGCAACTTGACCAGCCGTGGTACAAAATCTAGCCACATCTTCATAATTGAACATGCGTCGGAGGATCCGCGGTGAACTACCAAGGAGAACGATTTAGCATAAATACTCTTTCATACCAGATGCCGCATCAAGAGTTGTGGCACTTCATTTCAAGCTTTTGTAGCTATTGCCCGAATGGCAGTTTTCCTTGCAAAGTGATTCAAAATTCTCGTACGGTTTGCGCAAGTTTATAACACAACAAAGCATGCAGTACAAGAGGGTGCACTGACCAGTACCGCTAGAAATCAAAATGTGTTTACCCTCGCTGGTGAGGTGAGTCGAGCTACGTTCGCCTACGGAAGTCAGTGAATAATTGCTAAGCATGGGGGCATCGTGTGCCTACCTTGGTGGGGATGCGTGGCAGACCAACATCAAAGTCTCCGGGAAACACCCGCGGTAGAGGTGGCTATGTTCAAAGATTAATTTTAGGATCGCCAAGTTGTCAGAAACGGAAGTCCTCAGACGTTTCCATGGCCCAGGCAAACTTCACTAAAAGAGTCTTAGCAAAGATCCGCTCGATAGGCACTTCGCGCTTCTTACACCAGGCGACAGTGATCCGGGGGTCAAGATAGTTAATCTTGGAAGTCCCAAGTGCCACGGTCTTCATATCCTCCTTCACTTGCATGTCTGCTTTCAACTTTGCAAGTCTTTCCGAAACAGATTTAATTGCTGTCTCAATCTGAGGGAGTTTTTTCACGCGCGCGGTTTTCACCCTCGGGGCGGCGGCTGCACGTTTTCGTTCGGCAGCGCGCTCCTTATCATCCATGTCTTCCGTAAATACCGGCTTTTCAGGCATCCATTGGATGAGATCAACCGAATCAATCGACCCTTTCGACTTGTTGATTTTATTCCGGCCACGTTTCAACTCGGTCAACCACTGCTGGGTATCGACAACTTTTTTGTCCATTTTCTCCATTTGAGACCCATGCGCCTTGGGAAGAGCTCTCTGATGATTACACAAAATGGCGACTTCCTTGTTTTGTTGATTGTAGAACACAATCTTCTCGAGAAGATCTGAGCGAGCGGGTGTATTCGAAATGAGATTGTCTAACGTAACCGACGCGTTGTAAGTACGGAAAACCTTGGCACTTAGGCCATCCATAAGTGATTTCAGATAATCATTGAGACCGGTCACTGTGAGACGATGAAAGATATCTTCCCCGGGTTTTTTGTTTCGACAAAATAATTTCAGGTTCTCGTAGACTTCCTTTTCAACCTGAACGGAATTGAAGTAACGGATGCTGTCCTTGCCCAAAAAGTCCAGCTCTATGGTCCTCGGTGGCACAAACTTGATGTGTTCAACGCGTAGTGAGCAGCAACCTACTGTGTCTGCTTCATCCTCTCCCTTCTCGTTTCCCACTCGAAGCGCAAGCTTATCGATGAGATACATGGCTGTGGCTCGCTGTTTGGGTTCCTTCCCCTTTGCCTTCCAGCCTTGTCGGTAGTCTCGCCGAATCTGTTCGATGTACTGAGAGAGACGACGGGCCTTTTCGAACTTGGCATGGTCTGACATACCCTTGAATGCGGATCCCGCGGCAAGCCATACATACTTGGAACCACCGGTGATCGTATCCTTCCAGAAGCAAAGCCAAGTCACATCTCTTTTGTGGATAATCTTCCCCCACTTATGCCCTTCCAAGGGACAGGGAGGAATTTCTGCATCATGGCCTACATTGATCGTGATATCTTCAGGATATATACGAGACTTGACTTTGCCCATTTTGGGATGCTCCCCACGTCCCAAAAAGAGGCCTGGAGGTTCAACACGAAAGTTGCCGACTTTCTCCTCCCGCCCATCGACCAATGCTACGGTATATTTTTTGCACCGCACCGCTTCCTCCTCGCGAAGCTTCTTTTTTTCTGCGGCTGGAATGTCTTTCTTCTCCTGCTTCTTTTTCTCTAGATGGGCATGGATACGAGAGAAGTCACAGAGTTCAAGCTTCTTAATGATACGATGCGCACTGGTCGAACGTAGAGAATGGCGGAAGTCGTCGAAGAAGTTTCGCTGAAACGTAGGTTTCTGCACGTAGTCAGTTGCGAGCTTTGCAGCATAAAAAGTGGCAATCTCTTCTGATTCTGCAGAAAGCTCAACAGCTTTACCGTTATAGAGAAGCGGTATCCCATGCGGTTCATATTCTGGAGGAAAAATAACAGCATTGTGTAACAGGGTAGTCCACTTGATACCAGAATTTCTTTCTCCCTCACCTTCATCCCACCATCGATACCCACCATTATCTTTTCCTTGATCGCTGCTGGAGGATTGACCTTCCCGCTTTGGTTTTTTTTCTTCGACTGGAATTGGTTCTAGTTTGGCCTCTTCTTTCTTCGCCCGTCTCCCTTTGGCGGCAGCAGGATTTGGGCGAACAACGGTAGTGGTGCCGTTTTGACGACGTTGTCTCCTGGCATCAGCGAGGACACGATCAGAAGAGGAGCGTTGCTTCAAACGAGACTTCGTTTGTGCACTAGTAGAATTCGACGCGCTTGCAGAACTTAGTGAAACACGTGGCTTCTTCGACACGCGACGATTAATTAAAGGAAGTTCATCATCCTCATCCGAGGACTCAATAGCTGGGATGGGGCGTGCTCGCTTAGTGGCGGTAGTCATGATGGGGGGCGATGAGAATGAGGTGAGTGGACGACGGGGGTGTCGGTCAGCGACATGCGGAGAGCGGGGGGGGGGGGGGGGGGGGGGGGGGCGGGAAACCTCGTCTGAGAAGCAAGGTGGAGAGGCGCTTTATATTGCACAAGGAGGGGGCTGTGAAGGCGGTTGTTTGGGGATGGAGGAAGGCGTTTTCGTTGCAGCATGAAAAAAGACTTGTAAAATTTTCGGGTTTTACGGGTTTGCTTCAATGGGACTGGTGGGTGGTGAGAGTACGTCTGGTTTCAGTCGGTCGGTGGGATTTTTTCGTTTTTTTGACTGGCTGCTTTGGCGTCTCTCGCAAATACGTGCGCGAGCACCCAATTTATTCGGCCAAGTCAAACTTTTCAAATGAAAAGTAAAGAAAATCATCACAAGAATGCAAATAGGACGGCCCCTTTCCCATTTTCCGGGCAGCAAAACCCTCCCCTTCGCATTCACAATAACATTCGATTAGACACAATTCTGGGTCCTCCAATAACAATTAAATTTTATCCACTGCGAAACATCCAGCGGCACACAGGAGGCCCCAGGCCTCGCTGCTCTTGCTCCCAAATACAACTTGATTCGCTTTCACCTGTGACGTGCTTTGCTTATTCACAAAATGCGGTCCTTCTCGCCACGTCTCCTTTCATCAGAATCCAGCGGCGGAGCCACAGCACTATGAAGGCGCAGACTCCCGCAAACAGATTCAATAGGGCATTAGGCCTGTCTCCGTTTCACCTATCTTGAACATTGACTCGAGCACACAACAATGTCCTGTAGTATCCGTCTCCACTCCAGTCACTAGGATTGACACTCCAGGGGACATGCATCCTCACCTAATGCTTCCTCTCGTTCGACTGGCTCGCAATGATTTTTAAAATGAATTCTGTGGTTAATCACTGCTAGATTTTAATATTTAATGCCTCTCGTACAGCAGGACTTCAATACCACGAATGATCGGTAAGTTCATTTCTGCCAGATTGTCCCGGTCCCACTGGGACCAGCAACACGCAATTGTAGGGCGTTTCTGCCACAAACCCTGTTATGGGTTCAGCTGTAAGGCTTCAGGGCTTTGTTCATCACGATTCCTAAAGCTGAAAAAAAATCCTCTTAGCAAACTCTTCTACTCATGACAGTCCCGAGTGCGCTTTTTGCATGAGCTGCAAAACACCTCGTCCATACATTGCCAAGGGCACACCAGTGGAAACCATGTGAAAACACAGATCATCACAACCCTTGGGAGTCATCTACTAACTCCTGATTGTTCAAATGGAGCCACCGCCTCCAAACATCACCACGCCCCCCAGATGTTTGCAAAAGGCTCCCGCAGGGCAGTGATTTAGTCGCGGTACATTTAGCTCTGTTGGCCTATGGCGCAGGGCCTGTGTCCGCTGTGAAGCCTCGTTAAACTTGATTATATCTTCTACAGACAGGGCAGTATTTCAAACAGCAGGAGGAACGAGATTGATACTAAACTTGTTCTTCTGCGTTTTACCAGATTCCAACCAAGAGTATCCTTCTTCCAACCATTTCGTTCAAATCCGATCGCAATTTCTACAAGTTTTACGGCGCGAGCCGAGGCGTTTTCATTGTCTTGTCCGGCTTAATCGCCACCTTTTCGATTCCACCCTTGGGATGATGAACAACAGCGCTGCAGTGTGTTCGAAATCCTTGTCCAGGCACTGATATGGTATTCATCTGGCATGGCACATCTCTGATGTTAAATGCCGTAGCATGGCTGTTTTGCTCCAACGCGTCCTCTGATACTGCTGTATCAGCAAAAGGGCCAGTCCATCCGCAGCCCATATGACTTTGTAGGCAATATTTCCCGCCTTCATAGATATAGCATTGACCCTTCACGTCGTGCCAACAAAAGCGTGAGACTGCTACACGTTACTCACTATCCGTGTCCTTATCAGCTTGTGAAGCAGCCGCTGTTTCACCCTGTGGTGCGGTACTTCAACAGTCTGCAACACAAACACTTCCGAATTTGTCCGAAGGGTTTCGACATGCGTTCACTTTCATCTCGGTTAAACCAAGGACTTCGCCCTTCTTGCTTCAGGCTCTCCGGTCGCCCTGCAGTGTATCCGCTATATACTGTGTTCAATGCACAGGGAGTCTTCCAACAGGGCGGTTCTCCTGTGACTACGTTCGTTCTAAGTTTTGCGCCGTGGACATCCAATGAATAGTTTCATTGCTGGTGGCCATATGAGCAGACAGCGCACTACAAGTTCCGACCGACTTTTTTAGCAAAGTGCTGTGTTTCGCCGTAGACATTGAACGGAACCTTGCAACAGTGTGGACTCCACAATATGGAGCCCGTGCGATTGCGAGAAGTTGTCATCATGATTGTGTCGATTTCCCTTGTATTAGGGCCCCGTAGATGAATTTGGGGAACTAGACAATCGGATACGTGTCCGTTGTCCCAATGCCATAGGCGAGTGGTTTTATGTGTCGTCCATGAAAGGAGAATTGTTTTGCGATAAATCACCATGCACCGCTGCTCTTTGACTTCCCTTGAAGGGTAGTGTCTTTCCAGAGGGAACTCTTATAAGTCTAGATTCAGAAGACTGTTTCCAATGTCAATTACAAAACTGTTGTGTTAATCCCACCAGAGGGGCCTGCACGTGCAATAAACGAGACCGTGGTCGTGCGAGGAAGAGCGCATGGGAGACTTCCTAGTGTATCGGACCGTTAGTCCTCGAGGACAAAGGTTAATTTATTTTATCAAAAAAACCAAACTCGCGATTTCCCTTCTGTTTTTTTAAACCAGAAGGCCATCACCACAGGAAAAGCATTTGCTTGTCGATTCTAGTGTCTGAGTGACACACGTACTCATGTGAGGACTTTCGCCTCACATGAGTACAGTATTCGACCTATTTTATTCTTGACTTTCGCTTCCCCGACAAGAAAGAAAACGATACCCCCGCCACCGTGCTTGACTTCTGACTTGGGGCCAGAAAGAACTTTGTGAGAATTGCATGTTCTCCGTGGTCGTTTTTAGATATGTCTGGAAAAGAAGCTTTTTTAAGCCATCCTAAAACCGCATGTCAAATAACTTCGAAACCAAAAACGCCAGTTCCAAAAGGCAATTTGGTACTCAATCTGCATTATATTCACAAGCTTTCTGCGCATTCAAAGCTGCTATACCGATGTTTTGCCAGATGCTTTTGTCGAAAAGAAGCAAGTTAAATAAATAGTGCTCAAGGTAGCTTCTTGAATGTTCAATTTAATTTATACATTTCTGCAAAAAAGAGCTGTCTTCATATGCGGACAAGCTCCGGTCGGATAGAAACTAGTGAAACCGAACTCGTTGATGCATACATATAAAGGTGTTCAAAAGAAAAGGCCGGCCTACAGTATGCGATTTTCTTGAAGCTAATTTTTGCCAGTAGCATAGACACATTTGTAGATTTACGCCACAAGCTTGGCAGAAATAGAAATGGCTATTTTAAGGTTTACGCAGCAAGAATTTCACAAATGATTGTGACAAATAGAGGTATGATAAGTAACATTGGCATTTCTGAATTTCACAAATTGAAGATATACCGAGAAGTGTTTACGCCAAGCATCAAGCACCATCACATGAGTATTATCACGTAGCCCAATTTTGCAGCCCAACCCACAGCTCCCCAAACCGCCATGTCCCTCGGACGACAAAAGGACCACAACCCCCAGGCCGTTTGCTCGCGCATTGCCGGATGTACTTCCCTGCTACCCTCTATCTTCAAGAAAAAGAACTTAGACCTAAGCTCCGCCCTGTCATCAAACTTCAAGTTAGCCGGTTTACTGCTCACACTACACAGCATCTGCAATGATCGCGAGAAGCAAGTGTGTCGTTCACGCGAGATCAGCTTGACCTCCTTTGTTGATCATCGATTTGACAACTTCTCTGACGATGTGTTGCTGGCCCTGTTCCGATTCAAGCGAACCGATATCATTCGAATTGTGCAATACGTGGCGTGGCCAGCAGGACAATTTCGGACACGCCGGAACCGCTACGGAACAAGCCCATTGTTAGTAACTTGCGTCATTCTGCGCCGTCTTGCTTCGCCGCACAGATGGAGAGACCTCGAAAGACTTTTTGCTCTGCACACACCGCATCTGTCAGAAATATTTTGGGAGGGGCTTTTTCAATTCGTGTCGGTGCGTGTTGATCTAGTCATGGGCAATCTACACAAGCCCTTTTGGCAAACTCGTTTCGAGGAGTATGCAGAAGCTGTGGGTATTAAAAGTCAGGCGCTTGAGAATGTTGTTGCATTCATCGATGGAACGCACTTGGCTGTAGCTCGACCAAGTGGCCTGGATATCGATCAGCGTGTTGCTTATAGCGGGCATAAACGGAAACACGCTATCAAATTTCAGGCCTTAACTACACCGTGCGGTTTCGCTATGCATCTGTCTGGTCCTTTAGAGGGCCGGCGTCACGATTGGACTATGTATATGCAAAGCGGGCTTGACTGTACACTACAAGAAGCCTTTTTCCATCTTAACCGGCAGTTTGTGGCCTATGGGGACTCTGGTTACAGCTCAAAAGTATTTTTGTTCGTGCCCTTTTCGGGATCTAATCTCACACCAGGACAAAGAGCCTTTAACATGGCCATGTCGAAGTCTCGCGTGACGGTTGGGTGATATTTTAGAGAAATTAAGAGGTACTGGACGTTTGTGGACTTCAAGCGTATGATGAAATTGAAGGAAAGCGCGGTGGGGATGTTGTATATCGCAGCTGTTCTTCTCACCAACGCCCGTAACTGCCTTCACTCAAATGCTATTTGGCAATATTTTCACTGCGCGCCTCCTGCCCTTGAGGAGTACATGATCGACCGGGATGATGCCTGAGCCACAGAGTGCAGCGCCAGAGGGCTTCTCCCCCCCTTTGGGGGACACCGCCCCTATGGAATGGGGGACCAATACGTGTCCGTGACGTCGGCGTTCCGCCGTTTGCGAATCGACCGCATGTAAGACAACCGGATCGACGTTGG